TGCTAATAAACGTTCTACGTTTCTTATTTATTTGGTTATATATTATACATGTTTACTTATTTCCAGTTTTGTATACCAACTTTATGTAAGTTATTTGTTATTTTATATTAGGCATATAGCTTGCCCTATAGCATGGTGTATTTTTATTTGTTTTGTTAATTGGGGAAAAAAAAACTAAAACGTCAATCATACAAAAGACCAGAGTCATAAGAATATATTCATAACAATAAAATAGCATATTTCCTTGCAGCGAGAGTGATAGGGAAAGCGTTATACTCGCAGATCTACAGCGGCTGAGACTGCCAGCCACTAGCAGGACACATTACCTGTCAGTGGCGGCTCCTGCCAGCCAGTTGAAGATTGAACTCCCACTCTCTTTTTGTTTATATGTTTATCTCAACATATGTGTGTCATGAATTTGTACATTTTGTAAAGGGTAAGTCATGCCGCATCTCCCTTCCATTCTTTCAGGTTTAGTGTGTAGCAGTGCCGGTTCTAAAGCAGGACAGTCTGGGGAAGAGGCGGTGCAGCAGCGCACCTGTCCGGCAGTGGCTGTGCTGGGTGGCACCTCCGCGGCTGCGCAGAATGTGGCCGGGCCACCCCAGCATGCCCTGCAGCCAGTCGCAGCTGCCACTCTACCACCATCATCGGTTGACGCTGCCACTGCATTGCAGCAGAAAGGAGACTCAAAGGCTGCATTTAAAGAACAGACCATCGCTCACGTTCAAAGAAACAGCGGCACAGAGGAATCAGAAGAGATATCATCTGTCCAAAGAGGACTGGTGTCAGCTACTGCTGAAGACACACAAAAACTTACAGACACATTGGAGGGTCGGACTCCTTCAGACAGACTTTTTGAAAGTGGGAAGGATAGCATTGCTCTTTACAAAGAGCAAACAAGTCTTGCATACAGGGAGACCGATATGGCCGGTGTTGCGGCTTAACAACGGTATCACCGTCAGTATCGTCTATCGCAGCAAGCCTAATTTGGTCATTGAGAATTTTTTTAAAATGTGTAAAAATCTTGCCTCGTCTGGTTCTCGTGATCCCAGTCTCATGTCTCATCTCATCTCTCGAGTTACGTATCGGCGTTAATGATAATCAAGCAACAAAATACGAGGAGAAAATCACTCCCAGAATAGCATTTGTAGCTTTTATAAGAATTTATATAATGAAAATTGTGCACTACCATCACATTCACATCTATGCAACCAATAAATAAATTACTAGTACAGCACAAAATTGTTTACAAGATCACATATTTCTTCATTGATCTAGTCACTTGATTCTGCTCTCAAAATGCACCAGATTTATGCATTTAAATTTAAAATGAACAAAATTTTCTTATACCTGCAGAACCCCCTAGACTAGAGGAACCAATGTGCACCCATCACAGTCTCACAAAATCCTGTGGGGGACACTGGGAATGTAGAGGAAACACTGTAGGATTGGCTGTTTCAATGTGTGTGCGTATGCCAGTTTATATGGCACTAAATACTTTGCCAATCTTTGAACTGTTGCCATCTGGTCGACGCTACAGAGCACTGAGCACCAGAACGACCAGACACAGGAACAGGTGGAACACTCAACACTACTATACATTTATTTAACACACATACTTTGTTACATTTCAAATTTGCACATATCATACCTGTACATACATAATTGTCAATATTATATATTGCATTTCTCCAGTAAAGCATAATGATTAGGGGGGTGGAGGGCTCACACAAAGAGCAGCCTAGGGGCCCCTGACCACCTTAATCCACCCCTGAATGTAGTAATAATGCATGACTAAAAAATATATCTGTTGAAACTGACAAAATGGATGGGTTGCAACATGGCTGTTTTGAAAGAATTATAGTTCCAAATGAAACTTCTAGATTCACATTACATAATTACTTGTAAGGGGATGAAGTAGGAATAGTAGGGTCAGGGGTTGTCTCAGCAGCTACTTATACATCATCAGCCTCACAGTTCTGAAATAAATAGCATCTGCAGCATAAACAAACTTAAATGTACATGGGGTCATTATTAAAGGGGTCATATGATGCTTTTTTAAAGATCATTATTTGGTGTATTTGGTGTAACAGAATATGTTGAC